ATGTGTTTGATATTTGCATGACTGAGACCTAAACCTGAAAGCTTTGTAACCTTTCCCACAGTGATTCAATAAAGAAATAAAAAAAAAAAAAGAAGTGGAGTTTGGGGGTTCTACAAAAATTCTATTTTGAATTTTTCAAGAAGTGTCTGTGATGTTTCCCGCAGAGGCTGAACCAGGCAGCATTTCTATGCCCAATACAAGCTGGTTCCTTCCCAGTGCGTCTCCACCAGCTCCTGTGATGCCTCAGCTCTCTGAAGAGCACTTTCTTCACTTGCTGGGTCAGGAATCCATGTACAAAGATGCTCGAGTCTTGACATTTTCTCCAAAGAATCTAAATTGTTCCTGGTTTGACTCAGGTCAGGCCCCTTTGGGGTCTGATAACTGTTCTCCACACTCCAAGGTCAGCACGAGTAAAACTGGGGAAGGAACCTTTCGACAGCTTGAACTGTGACTTCTGTGGGGGCTCTAGGCAGGGAGATGGTTCAGCATCTGTCTGTATACACAAGGAGTCCTGGCTGCCAGCAGAGCAGTGCCACGAGTGGCCCTAGTGGCTGCCACGTCACCGCAACAATTGTAAAATTAAAAAAAAAAAATAGAGGTTCTCTTAGCAGATGAGAGACGGATGCAGAGACACCAGCGAGCAGGGTTCGGCACCGCTATCTGGAGCAAGCTCACTGCCTCGCTTCCAGAATGCCTTTGTTGGGGACTGCCCTTTGTTGGGGACGAGCCAGGGGAAGGCCGTCAGGGTGAAAGCAACACTCGAGACACACAGGGCTCCGTCATGCAGGAGATGGTGAAGGATCTCTCTTCATTGTCTCACAGCACAGGTATTTAACCCCCCTCCAAGTCAGGCAGGAAAGGGGAAGAGGCAAGCAGGGCGGGTGGGATGAGTCACGCACTGACAGTCGGCTGATAGCCCCCAGACCCTCGTAACCTTTACATGTGTAGTGGCTGCCACATCAGGCTTAGACATAACCACAGATGACGTGCTAAACCGAGGATGCGCTCTACATAAACATTCACAAGTTGGGACATTTCCCAGAACTGAGGCCGTATTGTTGATACCAGGAAGTTGCCCATAATGTGAGTGTGGGGGAGGCAGCAGATCAGGCATCCATTTTGTGCCAGGAGGCAACACCTTCTCATTCCCTCCTCAGGGAAAACAAGCAGGGTGTGGCAAGAAGGGGGGAAATTGATGCCTGAAAAAGGAAGGGGCATTTCCCCAGAGCAAAATTTGCTCTGCCGGCCGATTGGGTCCTTCTCATTTCCCAGTCTGACCAGCCTATTTCTTCCTTGTTAAAAATGGGTCAAGAAAGCACTTTTGATAATATAAAGTCGGCAAAATAAATTCAGAGGGGACCCATCCTCATGAGTTTTGGGCTTTCTATAGTCCTTCTTTGGATTAATTTTAAAAGTTCTTAATAACCCAGGGGCTGGAGAGATAGCACAGCTGGTAGGGCGTTTGCCTTGCATGGCGCCAACCTGGGTTCGACTCCCAGCATCCCATATGGTCCCCTGAGCACCGCCAGGAGTAACTCCTGAGTGCAGAGCCAGGAGTAGCCCCTGTGCATCGCCAGGTGTGACCCAAAAAGCAAAAAAAAAAAGTTCTTAATTATCTCAAATATAAACTTTTCACACTAGACATTTTAACAATTTCAGGATACAAACACGCTATCAAACATAAACACACACACACACACACACACACACACACACACACAGCCATTTGTGGCACCAAACTTTTAAATAGCGCATAAGAAAACACCCGAACTAATTTTATTTTTGCACTGTTTCACAAAGTTCCTGTTTTTAACAAGGTAGGGGCTCTATTTGCTCAACAAACTGTGGATTTAATTCCTTTACAGGAGGTGAAGAAGAGCACTCATCTGAGAGTCTCTGTTCCTTCAATCCGTCACTCAACAAATCCTCCCTTTGCTTCTCGTCCTCTGGTTTGTCCTGAAAAACGGTACATATAAAGGCCAGAGTTTCCCTGATTCTGACCTTCTGCTCTGCTCTGGCATGCGCTAGGCCAGGGTGTCCCTTTACTGCACCCTGGGCAAATACCAGGGCCTTTCTTGGAGCTCCTACAGTTTTTTGCAAAATGGCTCCTTTTTCTACATTTAAAGCAGGTTCCCCTGGACTGCTGGCCCTGACCTAGCTGTCCCTGCAGCTCGGTCTGATAACTTGTTCCCTACATGGCGACAGCCATGGCAGTGCCCTGAACTCTCGATGGTGTAACCTCAACACACAACCTGATGTAATCTTGTAGGTCAGCCTGCCTCCTATAGGGGCCGAAGTTTGCCTGGCAAGCCTGGTTTGCATTTTCAAAAGCCAATTGTTTACTAATTCTCCAGCAGCAGGATCTGAAATCATTCTACCTACTGCTTTAAGCAGTCTATCAACAAGTGTAGCAAATGGTTCATCAAACCCCTGTTTAACTCTTGTAAGTCCATCATTCCTGTGAGACTCTGCAGGCAAAGCCCTCCAAGCTTTTGGGCCGCTCCCTTAGTTTGAGCATAAGCAGCTGCTGTAAATCCTAATTGATTCAGGATGTCTGTATAAATTCCTTCTCCTGTTAGCATCTCTTCAGTAACTGGTATCTGCTGAGCCCGATTCAATCTAGCCGTTTCTTGGCATAAATCATGAAAATCAGCTTTCCATAACAATCATTTCCCCCAGAAAGGACAGTGTGAGCTAATTGCTTCCAATCATTAGGGCACAAATTGTCTTCTGTTAAATTTTCCATGACAATTAAGGTATATGGCATGGTCGGATCATATTGAGAGCATGCCAATTTTAATTCCTTTTTTTTTCTTTTTGGGCCACACTTGGCGATGTACAGGGGTTACTCCTGACTCTGCACTCAGGAATAATCCCTGGTGGTGCTCAGGGGACCATAAGGGATGCTGGGAATTGAACCTGGATCGGCCACATGCAGGGCAAACACTCTTAATCGCTGTGCTATTGCTATGGAAATCCCGCTAATTTTAATTCTTTTGTCTCCTTGAAAGGAAGAGGCTCATGTATACGACCACCTTGCTGGTTAAGATGGATGGGAAACATATCACTTCCTCGCCCTGTTCTTTTGCCAATGCAATGGCCTTTTGATAAGGAGAAAGGTTGGCTTGCTTGTCAGCAATTAAAGGCTGAGCAGTTTTCTCTTCATAACTTTATAATAGGGTAAGTAGTTACCTGTAGGCCACGTTTTTTCAATTGTTCTCATAACTGAAGACTAATATCTCCACAGTTGGCACCGAGAGACCCCCTGGCAGCCTCTGGCTCATGCAACTGCCCTCCTCGCTCCTCCCGCTGTTCTATCGCTTCCAGATTGTCGTCACGCAGAGGCTCAGTTTGTACCAACTTATAAGAAATTGCAGAGAGGAGCGTCACGGGTAGACGTGTCCACAGAAAGAGAAGGAGCAGAAGATATGGGACTAGGGAATGCAATTTCCTCCACCTTTAGCTCCAGGACAGTAGAAAGGCTAATATTATCCATTATAAATCTCCAGAGTGCAAAAGTATTTACAGGCATATTGGCTGGACCACAGTTATTATAATATTGCTGAAGCTCATGCCTACCTGACTCCATGTCCTTTCATTCAGGAAACCCTCCTTAGGAAACCAAGGACAGATGTTTCTTACATGCTCAAGAAATGCTTCTATCTGCTTCTCCTTCATTTTCAAGCTTTTTGCTCTAAACATCATCTGCAAGGTTTATGCAAACAGCTGCTGGTGGCTATAAGCCTGCCTGATGTTTACTCCCTATTCTCAATGTACACAATACCCCAAAACTCTTTAAGTTACTCTGTAAATTACTTAATGACACATCTCCTTTTGGGACCACTCTCCACATGTCTGGATGGGCCTCATGCATGAAAGAACTGGCAGAGGAACCCAGGCATGCAGGTCCCGGGGCTGAGGTCTCCAAGCCTACTTGGATTGGGACTGGGCCTTCTCCATCCAGAACACCCCCCCCCCCCCCATCTTCCAGCAGGTAGGCATCACACCCACCAACTGCCGCCAGCGCCAGGTTGGTCCCATCAACGACCAAGACGCAGAGACTATAAAACCCAACTCCCGGAAGCATGCAGCCGCATTTGTGGCCGTGCAACATCTTATTTTTTCGCTACCAAAAGTATCCTGGCCGCACAGCAGAGTCTGGCAAACTTCCTGTGTCATACTCAATATGCCAAATACCAGTAACAATGATGGGTCTCATTCTCCTAATCCTGAAAGAGCATTGAAATGGCTCTTTTAAAATCTCAGGGCTAGGAAGAAGGAGACGTTACTGGTGCCTGCCTGAGGAAATCGACGAACAACAGGATGATCGTGATCCATGTACACAATACCCCAAAACTCTTTAAGTTACTCTGTAAATTACTTATGATGCATCTCCTTTTGTTGGGGGCTCTTCAGTGACTTCCTCGTGCTCCAGTGCCAGTTCGGGCGCCACTTGCCGCATCCTGTGCTGCCAACATGAACTTCGACCAGAGAGAGTGGAATGAGAGCCAAAGACGGGGTAGGAAGGACTGTATGAAACATACAGCGACTTTATTATTCCAAAGCTCATTGTCTTTTATAGTATGTAGTGAACACTCTGTGGGACAGCCAAGGGTTACAAGTTGGGTGAACTATGTTATCTGTTATTCTGTCTTGGAGCTGCATATGCTGTTCCTTGAACTCTCTCAGAAATGAGAATGTGGTCCTAGCCCTGGGAAGGTGGATCAGGTGCAGCCTTCCCTTTGGCCTTTCTCAACAGGATCAACTGCTAGGGCATGGCACTCCCACACGCCCAGTTTTTCCCCTGCTCATTCCCTTCTCAGGGAAAACAAGCAGGGGCTACCAAGGCCAGTAGCCTTAACCTGGCCTTACCTTCACCTCCCAGGATGGAGCCTCTCCCATGTGACTCATACCCAAAGGACTGGGTGCTGAAGGACATGACCTAGATCAATGAACTGTCAACAGAAATGCCCAGTCAGCAGCTTTTGGAAGAATAAAACCTCCCTGCATTGAGAGCTGCTGGCTATGCCGTTTGGGGTCAGTGTGAAGGACCCAGCCATCAGGAGACTCTGCACGCCAGCACCCAAGCAGTGGGTTGGGCTGGGGCTCCCCGAATCCTAGGTGAGTGCCCACAAATTCTCTGGACTCTGACACGGGACCAGTCCTTAGGATTGGATGGGGACTGGAGGGTGGTGACTCTTGGGGTCTGGAGAGGGCTGCATGGTGTTGGCTTGGTGCAGGCAGGGGTGTGTGTGTGGGGGGGGTGTTCACCCTGGTTGGCCACCTATGGTGAGCAAGTAGGACAGAACAGGTTGGTACTGTGGGTCCAGGTTCAGGGTTGCTGGAGCTCAGGGAGGAGAGCTCAACTGGACTCACCCTCTCGCTGAGGGTGCCCTTTAAACCCCAAGAAGTATGCCCTGCAGGCAGCCGGTGTGGGTGATGGGAAGGAGACAGTCCAGTGGGCGACCTGGGGGCTCAGTCAGGAGTTTCTCATGGTTCACTGACTCTCCTCACAATGGGGCTGAGACATGGGAGTGTGGAGGCTGTTGACGGGGGTCGGGGGTTCAAACAAGTGAACATCTCACAGACCCATGTTGTACAGGGATAACATAGGTACTTGGTTGCCCCGACCCGAGGGACTAGTCAACGTGGATAACCGGGAAAGAGTGGGAAAAAAGACAGAAGAATGGGCCTGGGCCCTTGCTGCTTGATCAGACACTCTGCCTCCAGACCAACTGTGCCGGATCTCCTGCCTCTCTGGCTAAGGTAGGCTCTGGCAGGAGCTTGGGGTGCAGGGGAGACTGCTTTGGAACCAGGACCAGATTGTTGCTTGGTTGTCTTCAGGGGAAGTGGTTACAGAAGGTGGGAAGGGGAGAGGGACTTAGCTCGGCCCTGCTTCTGGGCTCTGGGCTCTGGGCCTTTCCCAGATCTGCTGGTCTGGAGGCCTGGAGGCCTGGGGAGACCCAGCCTAGGGGACCCCTCCTTGCCCCGACCCGCGGGACTAGTCAATGTGGATAACTGGGAGAGGGTGCACGAGTGGGACAAAAGAGACAGAAGAATGGGAGCAAGACAAAACTCGGATCAAGCTTCAAATTAATTTCTCCCAAGCTAGCCTTTTATAATTGATTACATGAGGAAGTAGATAAAATGGGGAATTAACAAAGCATGCAGATATTCAATAAATCAGGGTGTGAGCCCTAACGGCAAGCTCATGGCAGTTATCTCGGGCGTAGGTCAGAAACTTACACAATGCATTTTTTTTACTTTATTTTTTTATTAAATGATTTTAATTTAATTAATTTTTTTAAAAAAAATTTTTAATAGTGAGACATCATGAGGTACAGTTGCAGACTTACACATTTTTGTGCTTGGGTTTCAATTATACAATGATCAAATACCCATCCCTCCACCAGTGCCCATTTCCCACCACCACGAATCCCAGTATTTTAACCTTTTTCCAAGAAGAGATTAGTTCCTAAATTGCAGGTCAGGCTGTACTGACATTTTGGCTCCTGGCACTTGGTCAGTGTATAGAAACGGGCAGGGGAATGGTTGAACACACGGGCAACACAGTTTTCCTCCTCAGACAGACCGGAAAGAGAGATTCTTCCTGCTTCTGCCAGTAATTCTTTTTTTTTTTTTTTTCATTTTTTTTTCCCCTTTATTTTATTTTATTTTTTTTAAAGTTGTAGATTTACAATTTTTTGTGCTTTGGTTTCAATTATACAATGATCAGATACCCATCCCTCCACCAGTGCCCATTTTCCACCACCATGGATAATATCCCTCCCACCCCCATCCCCCCATCCCCCCTGTCTCTGTGGCAGGGCAATCCCCTGTGTTCTCTCTCTCCTTTTGGGTGTTGTGGTCTGCAAAAGAGGCATTGAGTGGCAAACATGTTCAGTCCATAGTCTACTTTCGACATGCATCTCCCCTCCTGGGAGGATCCTCCAAACATCCTTTATTTGGTGCTCCCTTCTCTATCTGGACAGCCCTTTCCTCTAGGATACCCGGCTGGCCTCTAAGTTATGGAGTAATCCTCCTGGTGCTGATCTCAGCTATTCTTGGGTATTAATCTCATACTTTGTTACTTTATATCCCCCAGATGAATGCAATCTTTCTATGTCTATCCCTCTCTTTCTGACTCATTTCGCTTAGCATGATACTTTCCATATTGTACCACTTGTATGTAAATTTCATGACTTCATCTTTTCTAAGAGCTACATAGTACTCCATTGTGTAGATGTACCAAAGTTTCTTTAACCAGTCATCTGTTCTTGGGCATTCAGGTTTCTTCCAGTTTCTGGCTATTGTAAAGAGTGCTGCAGTGAACAAACAAGTGCAGATGTCACTTCGACTATACATTTTTGCCTCTCTGGGATATATTCCCAGGAGTGGTATTGCTGGGTCAAATGGGAGCTCAATTTCTAATTTTTTGAGAATCGTCCATACTGTTTTCCAGAAGGGCTGAACCAGTGGACATTCCCACCAACAGTGAAGGAGTGTCCCTTTCTCGCCACATCCACGCCAGCATCGGTTGCTTTTGTTCTTTTGAATGTGGGCCAGTCTCTGAGGTGTGAGATGGTATCTCATTGTGGTTTTGATCTGCATCTCCCTGATGATTAATGATGTAGAGCATTTTCTCATGTGCTTTTTTGCCATTCGGATTTCTTCTTTGAGAAAGTTTCTGTTCATTTCATTGCCCCATTTTTGGATGGGGTTGGATGTTTTCTTCTTGTGGAGTTTAACCAGTATTTTGTATATCCTGGATATCAACCCCTTGTCAGATGTGTATTCAGTGAATATCCTTTGCCATTCTGTAGACTGTCTTTGTATTTTGGTCACTGTTTCTTTGGAGGTGCAGAAGCTTCTTAGTTTAAGATAGTCCCATTTATCTATCTCTGTTTTCACTTGCTCGGCCAGTGGCGTGGCATCTTTGAAGATACCATTAGCTTCAATGTCATGGAGGGTTTTGCCAACTTTATCTTCAATGTACCTTATGGTTTCTGGTCTGATGTTGAGGTCTTTAATCCATTTTGATCTTACTTTTGTACATGGTGTTACTGCCAGTAATTCTTGCCTTTGGCTGAAGCAGAGAAAAAAAACAAAACTTCTCTGGTTTCGTTTTCCTGGGAAATGAAACTCATCCCTTTGGTTCCAGCCTGGCAGGCGGGGCTCCCTCTGGCCTGGGCCCTTGCTGCTTGATCAGACACTCTGCCTCCAGACCAACTGTGCCCGATCTCCTGCCTCTCTGGCTAAGGTAGGCTCTGGCAGGAGCTTGGGGTGCAGGGGAGACTGCTTTGGAACCAGGACCAGATTGTTGCTTGGTTGTCTTCAGGGGAAGTGGTTACAGAAGGTGGGAAGGGGAGAGGGACTTAGCTCGGCCCTGCTTCTGGGCTCTGGGCTCTGGGCCTTTCCCAGATCTGCTGGTCTGGAGGCCTGGAGGCCTGGGGAGACCCAGCCTAGGGGACCCCTCCTTGCCCCGACCCGCGGGACTAGTCAATGTGGATAACTGGGAGAGGGTGCACGAGTGGGACAAAAGAGACAGAAGAATGGGAGCAAGACAAAACTCGGATCAAGCTTCAAATTAATTTCTCCCAAGCTAGCCTTTTATAATTGATTACATGAGGAAGTAGATAAAATGGGGAATTAACAAAGCATGCAGATATTCAATAAATCAGGGTGTGAGCCCTAACGGCAAGCTCATGGCAGTTATCTCGGGCGTAGGTCAGAAACTTACACAATGCATTTTTTTTACTTTATTTTTTTATTAAATGATTTTAATTTAATTAATTTTTTTAAAAAAAATTTTTAATAGTGAGACATCATGAGGTACAGTTGCAGACTTACACATTTTTGTGCTTGGGTTTCAATTATACAATGATCAAATACCCATCCCTCCACCAGTGCCCATTTCCCACCACCACGAATCCCAGTATTTTAACCTTTTTCCGAGAAGAGATTAGTTCCTAAATTGCAGGTCAGGCTGTACTGACATTTTGGCTCCTGGCACTTGGTCAGTGTATAGAAACGGGCAGGGGAATGGTTGAACACACGGGCAACACAGTTTTCCTCCTCAGACAGACCGGAAAGAGAGATTCTTCCTGCTTCTGCCAGTAATTCTTTTTTTTTTTTTTTCATTTTTTTTCCCCTTTATTTTATTTTTTTTAAAGTTGTAGATTTACAATTTTTTGTGCTTTGGTTTCAATTATACAATGATCAGATACCCATCCCTCCACCAGTGCCCATTTTCCACCACCATGGATAATATCCCTCCCACCCCCATCCCCCCATCCCCCCTGTCTCTGTGGCAGGGCAATCCCCTGTGTTCTCTCTCTCCTTTTGGGTGTTGTGGTCTGCAAAAGAGGCATTGAGTGGCAAACATGTTCAGTCCATAGTCTACTTTCGACATGCATCTCCCCTCCTGGGAGGATCCTCCAAACATCCTTTATTTGGTGCTCCCTTCTCTATCTGGACAGCCCTTTCCTCTAGGATACCCGGCTGGCCTCTAAGTTATGGAGTAATCCTCCTGGTGCTGATCTCAGCTATTCTTGGGTATTAATCTCATACTTTGTTACTTTATATCCCCCAGATGAATGCAATCTTTCTATGTCTATCCCTCTCTTTCTGACTCATTTCGCTTAGCATGATACTTTCCATATTGTACCACTTGTATGTAAATTTCATGACTTCATCTTTTCTAAGAGCTACATAGTACTCCATTGTGTAGATGTACCAAAGTTTCTTTAACCAGTCATCTGTTCTTGGGCATTCAGGTTTCTTCCAGTTTCTGGCTATTGTAAAGAGTGCTGCAGTGAACAAACAAGTGCAGATGTCACTTCGACTATACATTTTTGCCTCTCTGGGATATATTCCCAGGAGTGGTATTGCTGGGTCAAATGGGAGCTCAATTTCTAATTTTTTGAGAATCGTCCATACTGTTTTCCAGAAGGGCTGAACCAGTGGACATTCCCACCAACAGTGAAGGAGTGTCCCTTTCTCGCCACATCCACGCCAGCATCGGTTGCTTTTGTTCTTTTGAATGTGGGCCAGTCTCTGAGGTGTGAGATGGTATCTCATTGTGGTTTTGATCTGCATCTCCCTGATGATTAATGATGTAGAGCATTTTCTCATGTGCTTTTTTGCCATTCGGATTTCTTCTTTGAGAAAGTTTCTGTTCATTTCATTGCCCCATTTTTGGATGGGGTTGGATGTTTTCTTCTTGTGGAGTTTAACCAGTATTTTGTATATCCTGGATATCAACCCCTTGTCAGATGTGTATTCAGTGAATATCCTTTGCCATTCTGTAGACTGTCTTTGTATTTTGGTCACTGTTTCTTTGGAGGTGCAGAAGCTTCTTAGTTTAAGATAGTCCCATTTATCTATCTCTGTTTTCACTTGCTCGGCCAGTGGCGTGGCATCTTTGAAGATACCATTAGCTTCAATGTCATGGAGGGTTTTGCCAACTTTATCTTCAATGTACCTTATGGTTTCTGGTCTGATGTTGAGGTCTTTAATCCATTTTGATCTTACTTTTGTACATGGTGTTACTGCCAGTAATTCTTGCCTTTGGCTGAAGCAGAGAAAAAAAACAAAACTTCTCTGGTTTCGTTTTCCTGGGAAATGAAACTCATCCCATTGGTTCCAGCCTGGCAGGCGGGGCTCCCTCTGGCCTGGGCCCTTGCTGCTTGATCAGACACTCTGCCTCCAGACCAACTGTGCCGGATCTCCTGCCTCTCTGGCTAAGGTAGGCTCTGGCAGGAGCTTGGGGTGCAGGGGAGACTGCTTTGGAACCAGGACCAGATTGTTGCTTGGTTGTCTTCAGGGGAAGTGGTTACAGAAGGTGGGAAGGGGAGAGGGACTTAGCTCGGCCCTGCTTCTGGGCTCTGGGCGCTGGGCCTTTCCCAGATCTGCTGGTCTGGAGGCCTGGAGGCCTGGGGAGACCCAGCCTAGGGGACCCCTCCTTGCCCCGACCCGCGGGACTAGTCAATGTGGATAACTGGGAGACGGTGCACGAGTGGGACAAAAGAGACAGAAGAATGGGAGCAAGACAAAACTCGGATCAAGCTTCAAATTAATTTCTCCCAAGCTAGCCTTTTATACTTGATTACATGAGGAAGTAGATAAAATGGAGAATTAACAAAGCACGCAGATATTCAATAAATCAGGGTGTGAGCCCTAACGGCAAGCTCATGGCAGTTATCTCGGGCGTAGGTCAGAAACTTACACAATGCATTTTTTTTACTTTATTTTTTCATTAAATGATTTTAATTTAATTAATTTATTTTTTAAAAAATTTTTAATAGTGAGACATCATGAGGTACAGTTGCAGACTTACACATTTTTGTGCTTGGGTTTCAATTATACAATGATCAAATACCCATCCCTCCACCAGTGCCCATTTCCCACCACCACGAATCCCAGTATTTTAACCTTTTTCCGAGAAGAGATTAGTTCCTAAATTGCAGGTCCGGCTGTACTGACATTTTGGCTCCTGGCACTTGGTCAGTGTATAGAAACGGGCAGGGGAATGGTTGAACACACGGGCAACACAGTTTTCCTCCTCAGACAGACCGGAAAGAGAGATTCTTCCTGCTTCTGCCAGTAATTCTTGCCTTTGGCTGAAGCAGAGAAAAAAAACAAAACTTCTCTGGTTTCGTTTTCCTGGGAAATGAAACTCATCCCATTGGTTCCAGCCTGGCAGGCGGGGCTCCCTCTGGCCTGGGCCCTTGCTGCTTGATCAGACACTCTGCCTCCAGACCAACTGTGCCGGATCTCCTGCCTCTCTGGCTAAGGTAGGCTCTGGCAGGAGCTTGGGGTGCAGGGGAGACTGCTTTGGAACCAGGACCAGATTGTTGCTTGGTTGTCTTCAGGGGAAGTGGTTACAGAAGGTGGGAAGGGGAGAGGGACTTAGCTCGGCCCTGCTTCTGGGCTCTGGGCTCTGGGCCTTTCCCAGATCTGCTGGTCTGGAGGCCTGGAGGCCTGGGGAGACCCAGCCTAGGGGACCCCTCCTTGCCCCGACCCGCGGGACTAGTCAATGTGGATAACTGGGAGAGGGTGCACGAGTGGGACAAAAGAGACAGAAGAATGGGAGCAAGACAAAACTCGGATCAAGCTTCAAATTAATTTCTCCCAAGCTAGCCTTTTATAATTGATTACATGAGGAAGTAGATAAAATGGGGAATTAACAAAGCATGCAGATATTCAATAAATCAGGGTGTGAGCCCTAACGGCAAGCTCATGGCAGTTATCTCGGGCGTAGGTCAGAAACTTACACAATGCATTTTTTTTACTTTATTTTTTTATTAAATGATTTTAATTTAATTAATTTTTTTTAAAAAAATTTTTAATAGTGAGACATCATGAGGTACAGTTGCAGACTTACACATTTTTGTGCTTGGGTTTCAATTATACAATGATCAAATACCCATCCCTCCACCAGTGCCCATTTCCCACCACCACGAATCCCAGTATTTTAACCTTTTTCCAAGAAGAGATTAGTTCCTAAATTGCAGGTCAGGCTGTACTGACAATTTGGCTCCTGGCACTTGGTCAGTGTATAGAAACGGGCAGGGGAATGGTTGAACACACGGGCAACACAGTTTTCCTCCTCAGACAGACCGGAAAGAGAGATTCTTCCTGCTTCTGCCAGTAATTCTTGCCCGTGGCAGAAGCAGAGAAAAAAAACAAAACTTCTCTGGTTTCGTTTTCCTGGGAAATGAAACTCATCCCATTGGTTCCAGCCTGGCAGGCGGGGCTCCCTCTGGCCTGGGCCCTTGCTGCTTGATCAGACACTCTGCCTCCAGACCAACTGTGCCCGATCTCCTGCCTCTCTGGCTAAGGTAGGCTCTGGCAGGAGCTTGGGGTGCAGGGGAGACTGCTTTGGAACCAGGACCAGATTGTTGCTTGGTTGTCTTCAGGGGAAGTGGTTACAGAAGGTGGGAAGGGGAGAGGGACTTAGCTCGGCCCTGCTTCTGGGCTCTGGGCTCTGGGCCTTTCCCAGATCTGCTGGTCTGGAGGCCTGGAGGCCTGGGGAGACCCAGCCTAGGGGACCCCTCCTTGCCCCGACCCGCGGGACTAGTCAATGTGGATAACTGGGAGAGGGTGCACGATTGGGAAAAAAGAGACAGAAGAATGGGAGCAAGACAAGACTGATCAAGCTTCAAATTAATTTCTCCCAAGCTAGCCTTTTATACTTGATTACATGAGGAAGTAGATAAAATGGAGAATTAACAAAGCACGCAGATATTCAATAAATCAGGGTGTGAGCCCTAACGGCAAGCTCATGGCAGTTATCTCGGGCGTAGGTCAGAAACTTACACAATGCATTTTTTTTACTTTATTTTTTCATTAAATGATTTTAATTTAATTAATTTATTTTTAAAAAAATTTTTAATAGTGAGACATCATGAGGTACAGTTGCAGACTTACACATTTTTGTGCTTGGGTTTCAATTATACAATGATCAAATACCCATCCCTCCACCAGTGCCCATTTCCCACCACCACGAATCCCAGTATTTTAACCTTTTTCCAAGAAGAGATTAGTTCCTAAATTGCAGGTCAGGCTGTACTGACATTTTGGCTCCTGGCACTTGGTCAGTGTATAGAAACGGGCAGGGGAATGGTTGAACACACGGGCAACACAGTTTTCCTCCTCAGACAGACCGGAAAGAGAGATTCTTCCTGCTTCTGCCAGTAATTCTTTTTTTTTTTTTTCATTTTTTTTCCCCTTTATTTTATTTTTTTTAAAGTTGTAGATTTACAATTTTTTGTGCTTTGGTTTCAATTATACAATGATCAGATACCCATCCCTCCACCAGTGCCCATTTTCCACCACCATGGATAATATCCCTCCCACCCCCATCCCCCCATCCCCCCTGTCTCTGTGGCAGGGCAATCCCCTGTGTTCTCTCTCTCCTTTTGGGTGTTGTGGTCTGCAAAAGAGGCATTGAGTGGCAAACATGTTCAGTCCATAGTCTACTTTCGACATGCATCTCCCCTCCTGGGAGGATCCTCCAAACATCCTTTATTTGGTGCTCCCTTCTCTATCTGGACAGCCCTTTCCTCTAGGATACCCGGCTGGCCTCTAAGTTATGGAGTAATCCTCCTGGTGCTGATCTCAGCTATTCTTGGGTATTAATCTCATACTTTGTTACTTTATATCCCCCAGATGAATGCAATCTTTCTATGTCTATCCCTCTCTTTCTGACTCATTTCGCTTAGCATGATACTTTCCATATTGTACCACTTGTATGTAAATTTCATGACTTCATCTTTTCTAAGAGCTACATAGTACTCCATTGTGTAGATGTACCAAAGTTTCTTTAACCAGTCATCTGTTCTTGGGCATTCAGGTTTCTTCCAGTTTCTGGCTATTGTAAAGAGTGCTGCAGTGAACAAACAAGTGCAGATGTCACTTCGACTATACATTTTTGCCTCTCTGGGATATATTCCCAGGAGTGGTATTGCTGGGTCAAATGGGAGCTCAATTTCTAATTTTTTGAGAATCGTCCATACTGTTTTCCAGAAGGGCTGAACCAGTGGACATTCCCACCAACAGTGAAGGAGTGTCCCTTTCTCGCCACATCCACGCCAGCATCGGTTGCTTTTGTTCTTTTGAATGTGGGCCAGTCTCTGAGGTGTGAGATGGTATCTCATTGTGGTTTTGATCTGCATCTCCCTGATGATTAATGATGTAGAGCATTTTCTCATGTGCTTTTTTGCCATTCGGATTTCTTCTTTGAGAAAGTTTCTGTTCATTTCATTGCCCCATTTTTGGATGGGGTTGGATGTTTTCTTCTTGTGGAGTTTAACCAGTATTTTGTATATCCTGGATATCAACCCCTTGTCAGATGTGTATTCAGTGAATATCCTTTGCCATTCTGTAGACTGTCTTTGTATTTTGGTCACTGTTTCTTTGGAGGTGCAGAAGCTTCTTAGTTTAAGATAGTCCCATTTATCTATCTCTGTTTTCACTTGCTCGGCCAGTGGCGTGGCATCTTTGAAGATACCATTAGCTTCAATGTCATGGAGGGTTTTGCCAACTTTATCTTCAATGTACCTTATGGTTTCTGGTCTGATGTTGAGGTCTTTAATCCATTTTGATCTTACTTTTGTACATGGTGTTACTGCCAGTAATTCTTGCCTTTGGCTGAAGCAGAGAAAAAAAACAAAACTTCTCTGGTTTCGTTTTCCTGGGAAATGAAACTCATCCCATTGGTTCCAGCCTGGCAGGCGGGGCTCCCTCTGGCCTGGGCCCTTGCTGCTTGATCAGACACTCTGCCTCCAGACCAACTGTGCCGGATCTCCTGCCTCTCTGGCTAAGGTAGGCTCTGGCAGGAGCTTGGGGTGCAGGGGAGACTGCTTTGGAACCAGGACCAGATTGTTGCTTGGTTGTCTTCAGGGGAAGTGGTTACAGAAGGTGGGAAGGGGAGAGGGACTTAGCTCGGCCCTGCTTCTGGGCTCTGGGCGCTGGGCCTTTCCCAGATCTGCTGGTCTGGAGGCCTGGAGGCCTGGGGAGACCCAGCCTAGGGGACCCCTCCTTGCCCCGACCCGCGGGACTAGTCAATGTGGATAACTGGGAGAGGGTGCACGAGTGGGACAAAAGAGACAGAAGAATGGGAGCAAGACAAAACTCGGATCAAGCTTCAAATTAATTTCTCCCAAGCTAGCCTTTTATACTTGATTACATGAGGAAGTAGATAAAATGGAGAATTAACAAAGCACGCAGATATTCAATAAATCAGGGTGTGAGCCCTAACGGCAAGCTCATGGCAGTTATCTCGGGCGTAGGTCAGAAACTTACACAATGCATTTTTTTTACTTTATTTTTTCATTAAATGATTTTAATTTAATTAATTTATTTTTTAAAAAAAGTTTAATAGTGAGACATCATGAGGTACAGTTGCAGACTTACACATTTTTGTGCTTGGGTTTCAATTATACAATGATCAAATACCCATCCCTCCACCAGTGCCCATTTCCCACCACCACGAATCCCAGTATTTTAACCTTTTTCCGAGAAGAGATTAGTTCCTAAATTGCAGGTCCGGCTGTACTGACATTTTGGCTCCTGGCACTTGGTCAGTGTATAGAAACGGGCAGGGGAATGGTTGAACACACGGGCAACACAGTTTTCCTCCTCAGACAGACCGGAAAGAGAGATTCTTCCTGCTTCTGCCAGTAATTCTTGCCTTTGGCTGAAGCAGAGAAAAAAAACAAAACTTCTCTGGTTTCGTTTTCCTGGGAAATGAAACTCATCCCATTGGTTCCAGCCTGGCAGGCGGGGCTCCCTCTGGCCTGGGCCCTTGCTGCTTGATCAGACACTCTGCCTCCAGACCAACTGTGCCGGATCTCCTGCCTCTCTGGCTAAGGTAGGCTCTGGCAGGAGCTTGGGGTGCAGGGGAGACTGCTTTGGAACCAGGACCAGATTGTTGCTTGGTTGTCTTCAGGGGAAGTGGTTACAGAAGGTGGGAAGGGGAGAGGGACTTAGCTCGGCCCTGCTTCTGGGCTCTGGGCTCTGGGCCTTTCCCAGATCTGCTGGTCTGGAGGCCTGGAGGCCTGGGGAGACCCAGCCTAGGGGACCCCTCCTTGCCCCGACCCGCGGGACTAGTCAATGTGGATAACTGGGAGAGGGTGCACGAGTGGGAAAAAAGAGACAGAAGAATGGGAGCAAGACAAAACTCGGATCAAGCTCCAAATTTATTTCTCAGGGAATTAACAAAGCATGCAGATTTTCAGTGAATCAGGGTGTGAGCCCTAATGGCGGGCTCATGGCAGTTATATTGGGTATAGCTCAGAAATTTACACAATGTATTTTAACATTTTTCCAAGAAGAAATTAGTTCCTAAATTGCATGTCAGGCTGCACTGACCTTTTGGCTCCCGGCACCTCCTAGCCCATCCGTCCTGGTCCCGATGGGCTTGAAGCCAGTGACTAGCACATCCAGGGGCCTTACTTCCCATGCACTAGGATCCCAGGATATCTCCTCCTGGATATCTCCCAGCGTAACTTGGAACTTTGTGCTCCCGGCCCCTTGGCATAACTCCAGCATTCTCTTGGGTTCTAGAAGCTTCTGAAGGAAGAGGAGCCCACCTAGAGAGGAGATGCCTCCCACCCTCATCCTGATGTCGGTGGGCCCCACGGGTGACTTATGTGAAGCGGGGAGGAGAAAGACAGTCACTTTCTCCCCACCCACCTCTGCCACTCGGGACCCAGGGTTGCTGGGTTCTTGTCTCGCCTCGCAGAAAGGAATTTCAGGAGTAGACAAGCAGTGAAGTAAATAGATTTTATTTGGAGGATTTTGAGGTGTGGAGGGGGAGAGAGAGAGAGTAAGTTAGACACGAAAGCATGAAAGTACACATCTCAAGAGGGGAGATGCGGGCGACACATGTGCTCGGCCACGTGGGCGCAAGCAGCACATGGGCTCAGGCAGCATATGCTTGCCCTTCCTTTGTTCCAGGTGGCCTTTATAGGGTTTCTCCAGCCTGCCCTCACGTGGGGCTTCTTTCCAGGTAAAAGTTCGTTGCTAAGGAGGTTGCCAGGGAGGTCCAAAAAGAGGAATTTCATGGGGAGGCCTATATCCTGAGGGTCTGCGGATGGTCTTATCAGGCCATTTTCTGTATCCACAAGTTGGGTCATTCCTAGAATTCTTCTTCCATTGCAAAGGGCCTTTCCCTATCTACCTGCCTACATCAATCCTACCACCAGAAAGTCCCTCCTGCTCTAGGTTCCTCTCCAGGGCTGCCGTCCCCACCACTCACTAGGAACCCCTTCTCTCCTAGTGCCGGATACTGCATCTGACGTGCCCCCCGTGAGTTACTGTCCAGCATGGCCTTCCTCTTCTCTTCGGCGAGCACCTTGACCATGTCCGTCTTCTCCAAGACCCTGGCAGCGGCTAGTCTGGCCAAAGCAGGGGGCATGGCTGTCTCAGGCCAAGTCCTGACTGGCCTGTGCTCCATGGGTGAGTGTTTCTGAGAGGAGTGGGGGAGGAGCAGGGGGTCGGTCCTGCTCTGGGCCTGAGTGGACTGAGTGATGCCTTGAAGCCTGTCCCCACCCAGAAGTCTTTCTGGGTTTTTCCTGACCCTGGGTACAGGGCTCCAGGACTCACATCCCCTGCGTTGGGCCCTAGTGTCTGTTTCTCTCTTTCCTGTACTCAGCACCAGATTTCACCTCCGTGTGGGCTCCCAACTTCCTGCCAAGGGCCCAGCGTCCTTTGTTAAATATCTGCGGGTCATTTCCGCGTGTGTTTTCTCTGCCACTTCCTTATCCGGGCTTCTAGTGATGGGCACTGGGGTGGTTTCAGGAAATGAGCTCTGGAAATAAGGAGGCGCCACACTGGGTAGGATAAGCTTTCACTGCCTCTGGAGAGAGTCTGAGTCAATGCAGGGCCTGTCACCAATGGGTGCTGCTCCTGGCGGCTCACCCAGTGCTCCATCTGGCCACCGACCTTCTCTCTGCACTCTGACCTTGAGAGCCTCACCTTGAGCTGTGTAAATGCTCCCAGGCCACATCTGCATCCATCAGTCTCTCCCACTAGCAGGCCCCGCCCAGGCCTCCTCCAACCTCTCATGGAACAGATGTCAGGAGATTGGGGGAGCGAGGCAGGCCACTGACCTCTGATCCCAAGTACCCCACCTTTCTCTTTCAGGACAGGCAGGTAAGTGGCATGGCGTGTCTGTGAGCACCAGCCCCGTCTTCAGCTGCATAAATGCTCCCAGGCCACATCGGATGTCTGTCAGTCTGTCTTACTAGCAGGTCCCATCCAGGCCTCTTCCAATCTCTCAGGGGCACAAATGTCAGGGAAGTGGGGGAGGGAGGCAGGCCACTGAACTATGACCCCAGGAACCTCACTCCCTTCTTTTACAGCTCAAGCCTCGGCCTCCAAAGTTGCCCTGGGGTCAGCTATGTCCACCCTGGGTCCCTGGCTGGCGTCAGTGAAGACCTCGGCTGCTGTGGTGGGCTCCTCTGCCACTACCCTGGCAACTTCCTCCGTTGCAGGTAAGTGGCCCTGCGTACCAGACACCCTGCCCAGCCCCTCCTCATACACAAATGTGGAATGAGTCCATTGGGACCCGGGCGGTCCCTGCGTCCCTCGATTCTGAGAACGTGTGCCCTAGGAAGACCAGTCCCGCTGTGCTGCTCTCTGCCGCTACTCGGTCCTGGCTGTTGGTGACGTCTTAGAAGTCCTGGATGTGGGCACTGGTGCCTCTTCTTTTCAAAGGAGGAACTGGACAGGGAACAAGTGGGCCCCAGGCAGCCTATGCTGGGCCAGGGAGTAGGACGGACAGCAGGTGGCCGTGAGGGGGGTTGTCTTGGGGAAGGGTTGGATCAGTTCCCCAAAACCCTGGGCCAGCAGGGAACAAGCCACTTCCGGTGGGCTCTGGGTGCTCAGTGAGGCCAAGGTCAGCCTCCTCAGTCGCTGCCCAGGCCACAGGCATCTTCTGACCAGGTTCTGCAGGTGAAGCCCCAGCTCCCTCCCCACCCAGAGGCAGGGCTGGCCTTTCTGTGCTCATCTCTACTCCTTCGTCATCCTGGATTCCCGCCCTTGGGCAGCAGCTGGAGCTCTCTCTGCATTTCTTGTTCTTCTTTTCTACTCTACGGTTTGGGACCACACCCAGCAGTGCACAGGGCTCATTGCGCTCAGGGATCACTCCTGGTGGTCTCAGGGGACCCTTTGAGATGCCAGGAATAGAACCCCATTGGGCTGTGTGCTGTGTGCCAGGTATGCCCCCATCTGCTGTCCTATGACCTGGCCCCCTCTGTGTATTTTTTTTTTTTTTTTGCTTTTTGGGTCACACCTGGCATTGCACAGGGGTTACTCCTGGCTCATGCACTCAGGAATTACTCCCGGCAGAGTTCAGGCAGTGCTCATTCTATAGGATGCTGAGATTCAAGCCTGGGTCAGCTGCATGCAAGGCAAACGTCCTATCAGCTGTGCTATCACCCCAGTCCCACCCTTTTGCATATCTTGCTCTCCCTGGAGTTCCTGGAGAGCCACTGCTGTCCTAGTGTCTCTGCCTTTGGCAAGTCACTCTCTTCCTCTTCCCCATGGATGGCCATAGAGGCCGGGAGCCAGGCCCATAGGCACCTGAGTATAGATCTTGGCTGTGAGCGGACTCCAGTCACAGGGTTGTAATGATGCCTTCGAATAGGAGGATCGAAGAAGGCTTCCTGGAAGAGGAGGCAAATGTCAGAGAAGGAAGAGGAGGAGCTTTCTACTCATTTGGGGAGCACTGCTGCTCCTTGGTGGTGGCTACTTCAAGCTCTCTTAGGGCTGGTGGCTGTCAGGGGAGCTGTCTGGAGGAGAAGAGGGAGCATTCCCCCCAGGGGCTCACAGTGTGTGACCTCTATGCCATGGGGCTTCTTGTCCTGGTCAGACCACCTAGGTCCTAGGTCAAAGCCACTTTGCCGAATGCACACGTTCCTGAGGAGAACACAGGACTGCCCCAGGCAGGGGCTGTTTGGTAGTTTGGCTGGGAGGGCTCCAGGATCACTTTGGACCTCCCTCCACATGGGTAGAAAGGAAACAGATTGATGTTAAGAAAGCCAGGAATGAGGCCAGAGATAGCACAGGGGGGAGGGCGCTTGTCTTGCAAGTGGCGTCCCTAGGTTGATTCCCACCACCCAGATGGTCCCCCAAGTCCCAACCGGAAGTGAGCCCTGAGCACAGATCCAAGAGACACAAGTTCTAAGCACAGATCCAAGATCCCTGAGCACAGATCCACAGACCCTGGACATCTCTGGGGTGGTCCAACCACCCTCTACACACACATAAGAAAACCAGAATGAAAAAGCAGCTGGCTTTTTGAGACCTCAAGTGTACACCTCTCTCCACTCACAGGCCAGCCGAGCAGGCCCACCAGGACAGGTCACCTGGGACCAGACACCCCAGCCCTGTGCTCCAAACACAGGCCTCCTGCAGGATGACCCTCTTCTCGGGGTCGAAGGCAGAAGGCCAGGGAGGGGTCATGCTTTCCTGGGGCCATCTCCCCCAATAGGGACCTGCAGGACACACCCGCTCACAGAATGTTCTTTTGTTTTCCAGCCAAGTGTGCCGCAGGTGCGGTGGGAGGAGGTGAGTGGGCTTGGGGGTGGGGGGTAGGGGTGGGGGGCATGTGCTAGGCTTCTCGGCTGTCCCCTGGCTTGATGTTGTCCAGGGCAGGTCTACCCCAGGCCTTGGTGTATGAGACAGGAGAGAAGAGCACGAGAGAGGAGACTCTGGAGGCAGAAAGCTTGAAGCACAGAGTCTGCGGTGCTCAGGATGTGGTTGGGGAGGCCTCACCAGGACCTCAGTCAGCTGTGCAGGACATTCCCTTGGCTTCACAGAACTGCATCCCTCCTGGCAACAGTCTCCTGGTCCTCTGGGGTGTCATGGAGTCACAGTGCCAACTGCGTAGTGTCACCAGGCACGCATATAAGTCGGGCTCGACAGCTCTGGTGACCCTGGTGGGGGCCCTAGATATCCAGGGCAGCCACAACATCTGGCCTCTCCGTGTCCTGGGCTAGGACCAGCCAGCTGTCCCATCTTTTCCCGAGGCCACAAGCTGGCCGTCCCAGTGCCAGCCCTTCTGGAGAGAAACTGAGGACTGAGGACCCCTGAGTGGCCCTCTGAGGCCCAGCTGCAGCTAAGAGCCCAGCCTCACAGTGCTCAGGCCTCCATCTGGCTTCCCTTCTGCTCACCCCCCCACCCCCACCCCTGCCTGCTCCCCTCTCCTGCAGGGCCCAGGGCGTGGCCTAGTGTTCTCGGGCCTCGGCTCCTAGGCTCAGTCTCCCACTCCCCCCAACAGCTGTTGCCGTGGTGTCTGTGCCCGTGACTCTGAGTGCCCTGGGATTCACCAGCACAGGAATCGCAGCCTCCTCGCTGGCAGCCAAGATGATGTCAGTAGCGGCCATTGCCAACGGGGGAGGGGTGGCTGCAGGCAGCCTGGTGGCCACTCTGCAGTCAGTGGGTGAGTGTCTGCATGAGGAGGAGGCCAGCAGGGAGATGGGGAGACACGGGGGGCGGGGGTGGGTGCTTGCATGAAGCTAAACACAGTCAGGCTCTCTATTCCTCCCCATCATGGATCTCAGCTGACCTAGTCCTTAATCTCAGCCACCCTTCTCCTTTGGGAAGGGCCTGGGGAGAAGAGTCCATTCTCTATTCATGACCCCTCGGGAGCAGACTCCTCCCCAGATGGCTCCAGCCCTGTCCTGTGGATGGTGAGGCAGCTGTCGTGTCCAGCGTGACTCAATTCAGCATCAGGGGTCCCTGCTTCTCTCTGGGCAGCCGCCTGCAGGAGCCTTTCCCCAAACCCAGGTCCCAAGGGAACAGCGGGGGACGTATGCACTTCGGGTGTCCACCATGGCCTCGAGGCCCTGTCCTTGGGGACTCTCACCCTCTTCTCTCCTACAGGGGCCGCTGGACTGTCCTTGTCATCCAAGCTCATCTTGGGAGCCATTGGGTATGGTGTTGGGGTCACGACGGCATGTTTGTAAGCAAACACCCTCTCTTGATGGGCTCAGGGTGAAAGCAGCTCTTTCACCCTAGAGGTCCACCCTTCTGGTCCTCAGAAGGGCACTGCCTAGAGGGAGAATTGCGGTTCCCCCCCCCATTGTTCAAACCTGAGAAATAAAGGTGAGCTACGGTGACCTTCCCTGTGTCTGTCTGTGCTGAGGAATGGGGCCGGACGGGTGGGGCTGTGTGTGTTCTATGTGGGGAGCACATCTCAGGGGCAATGGAGAAGGAGCACCGGGTCCCCAATTCAGGATGTTAAGAGGAGGATGATAAAGAGAATGAAAAGCAGAGCTACCTGCGACCTGTTTAAAGCAAATCCAGACGGGATTGTATGTATCCAATCAATCACCACTAGACAAACTTTCTACCAATCAGAACTGTGCGGCAGGAAGCCCTCATTTGCATAAGGCAGGCCTATGTGTGGACCAGCCCACCTTTGTGCTTATGGAAACACTCCAGGGGCCCTGACCAGAGGAACTCTGCTCAACAGATTTGGGCTCTGCATCTTCCCAGCGGTAGTGCTACAGAGTCCAGCTCTACCAGGCTTCCTGTTGAACAGAAGTCAGGCCTGTTTTGTGAGTCTTGTTCCTGATTTTTTGTCTTCAGGAAAGTCTTTTTCCCCACATGGGTTGTTCTTTCATAAAGAACTGGGTTTCCAAGGTTCTCTTCTGGAGAAAAGAAAAACAGTCCTCGTTGAAATATGCAGTGTCTTCTGTTTAAATGGCTCCCCATTGCACTCTGCAGGGGCGGCTTGGAGAGCCCCCGGCAGCCACTTGCTCCTACAATCCAAAATTGCCACCATGGCCCCCAGCCGGATTCCACTGTCTAGGGACAGACCTCACTGAAAATTTCACTGTATCACTGTATCACTGTCATCCCATTAATCGTTGAATTACTCAACCAGGCTCCAGTAACTTATCTATTCCTCCCAGCCCTGAGATTTTATCGGCCTCTTCTTATTCATCTTTTCCCAATGATTAGAGGCTCTTTCAGGGCCAGGGGAATGAGACCTATTGTTGTTACTGTATTTGGCATATCAAATACGCCACAGGGAGCTTGTCAGTCTCTGCCTGTGCATGCAGGATACTCTCAGTAGCTTGCCAGGCTCTCCGAGAGGCATAAATGGGTAGGAAGTACTTTATAATGTGTCGCACGGTTGCTTTGTGGTCCGGAGAGTGGCCGGGAGTATGGCAGTGGTTGGGCAGTGGAGGTCGGTTGCTGGGGCTGGGTCCCTTGGGGTGGGGAGGGCTCTCACCCGCCCCACTGAAAAATTAACCTGCTAAAAATTCAGGCATGCAGGATCTGTGACTGACATTTCCAGGTTTTCTCAGTGTAGAGATGGGCTACCACCCCCTACTTCTCTGTACTTCCAGAAGCCCCAACAGTCACACCCACACCCCAAAACTGCCACCCAGTTAAACTTCTATTCCAGCTGTACCTTCCCAATAGAAATACGGAACTTACTGACATCTTGAATGATACGGCACCGATAAACCAGGAGTAGCATAGGGTCAAGACGCTCGCCGCCCATGAAGGAAGACTCCAAGAGACTTTCTCATGCAACACGCACAGGGTTTATTGTCCAAGCATGCTGGGGCTCACTACATGTCCCCAAAACAGGACAGAGGCAGTGAGCCCCGAGCCAAAGTACAGTGGGTTTTTATAACCAAGAATAAACAAAGGAATCTTACAGTACAGCAATCTGCAGCTTTACCAAGAACAGCACGACACTTGCACAAGATTAACTTCTTCGGAACATCTGAGCACATGTCCCCATATCTGGCCCAACCAGAAGGTCATAGCAGGGTGTAGGTGGGAGCGACATTATAACTCTTTTGAGCCACTTTTAGGAACTCTAGCTTTCACAGCTTTTACAGTTTTCTGGTTAACTCTTTCCTACCACTTAACTCTTTCATGACTATTAGTCCGGGCGGCCCTTACATTTCTATCTCCAGCCTTACAATACCAAATTGGAGAAGGCAACCAATCTTGATTAACAAAACAAACACAAAAGGTTTAACCTGTAACAACATCTTAATCATCTCTCATAAAAGAACAACGTACTCATGATGAGATACAATTTATTGGTCCATGGTTGTAAGCCTGTCTCAAGTGCTAGAGAAGAAGGCAACTGGGATAGAGAAGGGACCAGTAGGAAAACTATAGGTAGATGTGGTCATTCTGGATAAGCAGGTATAGGAACAAGCATGACAACCTCTCAGTACCTGTACTTCAAACCATAAATGCTCAAAAGGAGAAGAGGGGGGCATGGAAGGAAGGAGGGAGAGATAGAGAGAGAGAGAGAGAGAGAGAGAGAGAGAGAGAGAGAGAGAGAGAGAGAGAGAGGAAAAGTATCTACCATAGAGGCAGGCTGGGTTAGGTGGGTGACTGAAGGGAAACTGGAGACATTGGTGGTGGGAAATGTATACTGGTGGAGGAATGGGTATTAGAACATTGTATGATTGAAAGCCAATCATGAACAGCTTTGTAGTGGTAAATCTCATTGATAATTCAATAAGTTAAAAAAAATCTACTTGGGGCTGGAGCCATAGTACAATGGGTAGGGCGTTTGCCTTGCATGCGGTCAACCTGAGTTCGGTTCCCAGCATCCCATATGGTCTCCCAGCACTGCCAGGAATAATTCCTGAGTGCAAAGCCAGGAGTAACCCCTGAGGATCGCCAGGTGTGGCAAAAACAAAAAAATAAAAACAAAAACAAAAAATACCAAACTTCTCATTGCCTCTGTTTGAAGGCACTGCCAGTAGGCTTCTGTCTTGTAATCATTTACTTTATAAAGGATGCTCCTATTTACATCTATAGGAATGAAACAGTTTATTTCACTTGAATTACCTTTAGGGGGATGGTCCTAATAGCCAAGGCTCAGCAGAAGGAGATGGAGGACACTTCTGTGCAAACCTAAACTGTTTTCCTCAAAACCGGCTCCACAAAATAAAAAAAACTTTTATTCATCCTGCACTGAAAACTCTGAATTACTGGTTTTAAAGCAGAGTTGGCAGGATACAGATGAGAAACCAATTCTGTCAGCCAGTCAGGCCCTCTTTACTTTCAGCATGACCTGGAAGAGGAAGCTTTGACTGGGCTGTCTGTAGTGTCACGGCATGAATTATCTTCTCTAACTGCCATACTCGTCAATACACTGGCTCGGCTCTTCACGCGCTACCTGTCTGAATGCAAGGTTCTGTCCCAGTGGAAAACCAGCAGGACTGTACTACTGTACAAGAAGGGAGACATCCACGACATTGGCAACTATTGCCCGATCTGCCTGTTTTCTGTCGTCTACAAGCTGTTCACTCGAATCATCCTGAATAGGATTGGCAGAACACTAGATGAAGGACAACCATGCGAGCAGGCTGGGTTCTGCAAAGGATTCAGCACCATCGACCATATCCAAACGATAACCAAGCTCATTGAGGTTTCTCAGGAGTTCAAGATGCCACTCTGTCTAACGTTCATTAATTTAAAGAAGGCCTTTGATTCTGTTGAGATGGAAGCGGTCATTGAAGCCCTCACCAACCAGGGCATTCAAGCTCAATACATCAAGATCCTCTGTGAGCTGTATTACGGATTCACTACCAGGATCTCACCATTCTACAAAGAAGTGATCATCGATGTCAAGAGAGGGGTTCGGCAGAGTGCTACCATTTCACCAAAACTCTTCTGTGCCACCCTCAAGAACATCATTAGACGACTGGAATGGGAAGGAATGGGAGTGAAGATAGATGGTCAGCAACTACACCACCTCCACTTTGCTGATGACATCATTCTAATAACACCAAACATTAGCCAAGCTGCACAAATGCTGCCCGACTTCAGCTGTGAGTGTGGAAAGGTCAGACCAGCTGAATTTACGAAGACAATGTTTATGAGAAACGGTCTCATTCCTGACATTCCATTCACTCTCAATGGGACAAACATCACTGAATGCAACAGTTATGTGTACCTAGGTCGAGAAGTCAACATGACAAATGACCTGGCACCTGAGTTGCACAGGAGGAAGAGAGTGGCTTGGAATGCCTTCAAGAGCCTTGAAGAAATAGCCAAGAGGACAAAGAACCTCTGGCTCCAGGCACATCTCTTTAATTCCACTGTTCTTCCTGCATTAACATATGCCTCAGAAACCTGGGCCCTACAAAAACAGGATGAAAATGCTATTCAGGTCTCCCAAAGAGGAATTGAAAGAGCTATGCTTGGAGTATCACATTTCACTCAAATGAGAGAAAGAATTCAGAGTTCTGACCTCCATCCACGGTCAAGAATCAGGGACGCTGTCTCATTTGCCAAAGCGTCGAAAATCAGATGGGCTGGACATGTAATGAGATTTGGGGACGACCACTGGACTAGAGCCGTTACCAACTGGATTCCACAGGATGTCAAAAGACTGCGTGGCTGCCCACCTACGATATGACTTCTTTGTTAAGACCCTGAACGATCAGTTTGAGGCTCTTCGTGTTCCTAGAATGAACAGACGCCATTGGGCTACACTAGCACGCGATAGGTATGAATGGAGACGTTACTGGCACTGCTCGAGCAAATAGATGAGTGACGGGAAGTCAAGTGATCAAGTGAACCTCTGTACACAGCCTGGATACTCAGGGGCTCTTCCTGGCTCAGCACTTGAGGTTACTCCCATATAGCTAGGGCCAAAGTGGAGGGGAGGTGGAGATTGAACCAGAGTGTCCAGTACTGTAGGTGGCCCTGAGGTTCAGCTTCTTCCAAGGCAAGTGGCCCTTCCTCGGTTCCTTTTCTCTGCTTCCCAAGAGCTTTGGAACATATTCCGTGGGAACCTGAGCTGATTTCTGATGGGGGCAGGGGGTAGCGGGGCATAAATACAGGCATGAAAGCTGTGCTTTTTCTGGGCTCTCTATCATCCTTGGTGTTTCTGGGGTCTTGGCTAAGTCCATCCAGGTGTTGAGCTGGGTGTGTGCATCTGAGCACTCCCATTCCATAGGCCACCTGACCACTCTGTTCCAACAAACAGTGTCTTCCCAACTGTGGTTCTGAAGCTCAACCCATGCCCAGCCCCTCTTTCCCCAGGCCAGATCAATACATATGGGCATCTTTCGGGGGAGCTTTCTATGTGGGTGAATGGAGTGTCTCAGGCACACCGCCTAGT